GGCAGCAACAAGGCACCGCCGGCCGCCACCCGGCAGGTAGGAGCGGGCATGGAGCGGGGGCACACCGGGAATGGAGGGGGGACACACGGAGAGGGGACATCGGGATGGATGGGGAACATACACTGGGGATGCAGGGAGGGGACACTGGGATGGATGTGGGACACACGGAGAGCGTGGAACGGGAGGACACCGGGAATGGATGTGGGACACGCAGCGAGGGTGGAGAAAGGGGACATTGGGATGGATTTGGGACACGCAGCAAGGGTGGAGAGAAAAGACACCGGGGATGGATGTGGGACACACACCGAGAGGGATGTGGGACACACTGAGGGTGGAGAGAGGGGACACCGGGGATGGATGTGGGACACACACCGGGAGGGATGTGGGACACACACCGAGGGCAGAGGGACCGCATCGGGGGTGGAGTTGAGGGATACATTTGGGACGGAGAGGAGGGACACACAAACACTTGAGGTGTGGGGAGACACCGAGGATGGAGGGGACACCAGGGCCAGGGGATGGAGGGAGGGGGGACCCACATGGGACGGAGGAAACGGGACACGCACCGGGGATGGAGGGGACACCGAGGACGGGGGGAGAGGCATCGGGAGTGGAGAGGGAGGACACCGGCGATGGAGGGGAAGGACACACCGGGGATAGAAGAGCGGGACACAGCGGAGGTGGATGGAGGGGACTCACAGGGGATGGTGGGACACACACTCACACCGGGGAAGGAGTCGGGGAGACACCTCGGGAATGGAGGGGACACCAGGGACAGGGAAGGCGCACCGGGGTGGAGGCAGGGGAGGGGACACATCGGAGATGGATGGAGGGGACGCACCGGGATAGAGCGGGGACATACCGGGGACGAAGTGGGGTGGGACACCTCGGGGATGGAGGAGACCAGGGGATGAAGCGGGGACACGCTGGGGACGGAGGGGACAGGCCCCGGGGGTGGGAGTGTCGGCCTCACTGACCCCCCTCCGCCTCCTCTGTGCCCCCCCAGCCTTTCCCGTGCGCCGAGGACGAGGACTGCGGCCCCGAGGAGTTCTGCGGGGGGGCGGCCCGCGGCGGGGGGGCCCCGCTGTGCCTCTCCTGCCGGAGGCGCCGCAAGCGCTGCCTGCGCGATGCCATGTGCTGCCCCGGCATGACCTGCAGCAACGGTGAGCGCAGGGGCTGCGGGCTGGGGGCACTCCAGACGTGGCCGCAGGAGGGAAGTGGGAGGGGGGTGGAGTCCCGCCCGTGGCTGACAGCCGCCCCACTGCCCCCCGCAGGTCTCTGCACCCCGCC